GCGCATCTCGCCGCGGAGGAAGGTCCCGTGGGGCGGGAGCTTCTGCGGCACCTGCGCCACCGGGGACTCATCCAGCGCACGCGGACACCACGGACACGGAGCCCTGCAGGTCCCACATAACCTTGTTAATATGTTTACACTTAATCACCCGAAAAACCCAAAGAAGGGAACAAAGGGAAGCCACGGAATCCTTACCCTGGGCTCCAGCCGACCTGTCTAACGTCTGCTTCAACAGAAATCACTTTCCAGTAGGACCTGCTTCTCCAGCAGTCTCTCATGGAGGACACGGTCATAAGCAAGAGGGGGTTGGGTTTTGGGTTGTTCTTGTTGGGTTTATTTTTTTTTTTTTGTACTCCTTGCTTTACAAAAAAAAAAAAAAAGCGAGGACACAACCATTTACATGGTTCAGGAGCACTGACAACGCAGCACTGAACAGAACTCCTTCGCACCAGCATCTTCACACCATAGGATGGTTTGGAGCAGAGGATAGGGAATGATGTATTTGGTCGTTAGGTTCCCACATTCCTCCAAGCATTTGGCTTCTGGGATTTTTGAAGTGACTTAAGCCCACAGCTGTGCCACCTTGTTACCCAAGATGATGCCCCAAGAGAATGCCAGGCACCAACCTGTAATCTGGGTTAACCCACAAGCTCATCCCCATTCCATCAGCAGACAAGCTGCAACATGCCTCTTACACAAAACACACCTACCTAAAACAGCACTGTGAAAAAAAAAAAAAAAAATTAAAAATCATTCAAGACAGGTCAGGAGGGGGACAGCCCAGACCAGGTTTATGTAGTTAAGGTCACAGAAGTTTGTTTACACAACACCAGTCTCACAGAAATTATTCTTGATTTTCATCAAAGCCACTTGTTGTTTGGGGGGACTTCTGCACTGTCAGGCTACTTTGGCAAAGCTCATGGGACACTCAGGCTCTCACCCACAGGTTGCACGAACAAAGGAACTGGTGCATTAGGATCACCATGACCCTCCAACACCCACATCCCTGTTCCAGCCTTGCTGGACACAGCAAGCAGGGAAATCCTCCCCACCCCCCCCACAACAGCCTGTGGCTGCTGGGCATCCCCTCTCCCACCACAGCACCACAAGACCCAAATCATGCCAGGGACTTGTGTCAGCAGCCACTATGCCCCCAGACCTGTGGTTTCGGAAGCAAGCCTAGATGGCATGCCCCTGACACAAGGAACAACTTTTTTACCTCCTCCTGGGTTTTGCCCTTAACAGGGCTCCTCCCCTACTCCCACAGACATCATCTTTGGGCACACAGCAAGACTTCCAGAGCAAGGTTTTACAGAAGCTACCACAAAGGCAAGGCCTCGCTAAAACACAGGTTGGGGATAATTGCACTGCCAGTGCCCATCTTAAAAAACAAGAGCTCCTCAAGCACACGCCGATTCTACGATGACTTACAGACCAATGGACCTGGCACAAAACAAAAAGATCAACCAAAGCAAAACTGAAAGCGACTGAGGACAGGCTGCCATGCTGGGTCAGTGTAAATAAGGAAAGAAGAGTGTATTTAAATGTTTTTATTTCAACTAATGCTTTGCCACCATATTACATCGCTTTGAATAGCTTGGAATAGCAATATGATCTCAAAATATAGCAAACAGCTTGCCAAAGCAAGATAATATTAAATCCTATGGATACAGACTCTTCCTTCTTTGGCGACAATGCTTCCTTTTATCTGTAAAAATAGTTTTGTGTTCCAGCACATTTGCTGTTCAGTTTATTGAACCCTGCTGTTTATAACATTTGCCTCTTCCCTGCACAAAACCTCCCCACAATGTAGTATGGTTTTATATCCAACAGCATTTTAAATAAAAAAGTTATAGTTTTCATGCAGATTCTTGTAAAAATTATTTTCTTGGTGCACAGAACTGAACCAAGATGCGTACAAAAATGCATTCACTTCCATTCTCTGGTGTAACTGTGCCATCAGCAACATGACAACATGTTACTGCGAGAGATCCAAGGATGGTGGTATTCTCATGTATAGTATAACTTTAAAAAAAAAAAACAACAACACAAAATAATGAAAAAAAATCCCTTTTCACAAGCAGCGAGAGAAAAAACTGCCATGCTTTACTTGTAAAGTAATCAAAATAGTTAGATGTATAAAAAAGCACCATGTACAGAGAATACCAGAGGAAGATCCATCTTCCTAATTACACATTTCTCTTCTAGCATTGCGAGCTGGCCTGCAGGTCCCAACTTGTACTGTAGATTTATTTGCAAAGTTAAGAAAGTGGTCAAACCTAGAATATGCTTGGACCGTCTGACAGGAATTAAACTGGATTGCAGATAGAAATTAGATTTGTTTCCATTACAGTTCATACCAACCACCTTATAGCCCTCAGGGGCAACAAAAACACACACCAAGTATCTGAGAAACAGTGGGGTGAAAACAGCTCCCGAGCAGTATTGCAAGATGCAGGTCTGTTATGAATGCATTTCTGTGAGCTCTTGGTAAGTTAAACTTTCCTTTGGGAAAAGAGCACGTCTGTTGGTTAAAACTCCTCTCCCTGAGAATTTTGATAAGAGTTTGTCTTGCAAAGCAAAACAAAGTCCTTTGAACTTCAACAGTTCCCAGGCCAACAGCATTTCAACGTGGTCACAGCTGATCTGCTACTCATGCACCCAGGGTGGCAGGTTGGGTTTTTGTTGTGTTTTGCTTTTTTTCTTTACGTAGATCAACCCTTTTATACTCGCTTCATTCCTCTGCCCATCAAGCAGGCAAACACGGTCATGACCATCTTCGGTTTCACCTCCACAAGATCTTCTGGAAGAGCATAAACTCTGGCACCAATTCTTCTTGCCATGGACACAGCATACCTATTCACCATGGAAAGATGAGTGGGTCAGCACTGAGACTGCTACCAAAAAATGACAACACAGCTCCTGTCCTATCCAACACAATTTCAACTATTATACTCTTTATTAAGGTTCAAGATGTGCAACAGTCCAATCATACCGCATCTGTTTGTTTTATAAATGTGTTTTGATCTTTAATGCACAAACTGGCCTTTGAATATCAAGTCCACTTTACCACCATTTAAAAAAACCTGTAATTACTATTTGTTAGGGCTAATAGATAGCATGTACAACCAAGGATTAATCAGCTAACATTTACATTTCCCCTTCTGCTTGCTCTTTAGGAATAATCAGGAGACACTATTATTTGCGAGGAACTTTGCTGTCATTCTGCCACTGCAGAACAGTTGCAGAACACACATTTCAAAGGTGGGTTTTAATAGGCATACTTTAAACTCGACAAGCTATGATGATTCAGCAAGACATGAGACATAGAGGGGTTTAATTTCAAAACTGAGCCACCGGCCGAGCACTTCATATGCCTGAACAAACAGGTGAGAAACAGAATACCATTGCTAAGGACTGCCTGGGCTGTTCGGCATTTCTCTCAACAAGCAACAGAGTCCAGGCAACTGCTCCCTCCAGCGTTACGGGCAAGGACAGCAATCAGATTTCAAGAAGTGCTGCCTGTCTAAAAGGTACAGTGTTAAAAGAGATTGAAAACTACAGTAATAAACTGTCGTAAAAGCACTTGCAGTTTAGGGCCAGCACATAGAAGAAATGCAAAACAGCTTTTGAGACAGCGAACTTACTTTGCATTATTTTGTTTGTCGTCTTCTGATAGATGACCGGTCTTTACAAGGTCATAGTTGATACAACCAGGCTGTATAGCATCAATTAAATCCACAACCGCCAAGCTTGTGCTAATAGTCTTGTCCTAGAGAACACAGGAACAGACAAGTAAAGATGAACATCTAATTCTTAAAGCATACTTCTCACCTCAGTCCAGCTGCTTTGCAACAAGACAAGCTCTAAACAAGCCATTTCAAAGCAGCAGTGTTGTTGATTATTCCCAGCTGGACCACAGGGAAAACTGAACTGCTGCTTCTCCTTTGGCAATAGTAACAAGATCATTACTGCAAGTGCTCTGAAATCATGAAGCAGTAACACGTGCAGGCAGGTCTACTCCACTGACCAGACCCCAAGGGGCAACGCTCACCAGCTCTGGCCCCTATGCTTGCCAGCATCTCAGCCCCCACCTCTGCCCCAGAGCCTCTCCCTCTCCCTCCTCTGCCACCTCATCAGCTCTCTTGCTCCACTGCTGTTCCCCACTGTACGTAGTCCTAAAAAGCCTCCTCTCTGGTAGCTTGAAGCCACTTTGTTCCCTGCACAAACTTAATCTTGTCCTTTTTAAACCCCTTCCTAAGATGCTCCTAGTGTTCCTGCAGCCAAGGAAATACTTGTTGGGCACCCTGTGCTTTTGGATGCAAGAGGGGAAGCTGCACCTTGAAGTTCTGGATGGAGGTTGACTTGCCAGCTTCTTTCAGGGTCTGGTTTACCCAGCTGACTATAATGTCATCATTAGCTTTCTGACCGTCACCCAGGTCCTCGAGGACATTCAGCGTGTACCTGAGAACCAGCAGAGAGAACAAGATTAGGCAGAGAGCCTAGGCAAAATCCTGGTAAGCGTGCAACCAGGATGCAATGGGAGCCCATGGCAGCTTTGAAAGTCTTCACATAGCAGAGCTGAGACTTTTTTTTAAAAAAAAACCTCCTGTAGCAGAAAGGAAGAATCATCTATCTTACCAGAAGTGTGATTTCTGTTAAAGCATTTAGTCTTTCTAGCCTTTCAAATCCTTTAATATGAGATCACAAAATTGCCTGGGCTCAGGACACTTGTTAAACTATTTCACCATTTACCACTTGCTCAAACATTATGCTCATAATTACTGTGGTTAACACATCACCTAAAAGGTCTGGATCAGCTCACGAGTTAGCACTCTGACCTCTAAGGCCAAATAAGGAACTACCATGCAGCTATTTTGCAGATACATATTTGCAACATCTTGGAATTCTTCAGAAATAGATGAGAAAAAGGATGATCAACTTTATCTGTTAAGTTTCTCCTTCCCCCCATTCCAATGCAGAAGGGGGTTATAAAGCAGCTCTGGAATGTTTTTCTCTCAATTTCCACCTAAAAATTATAACAGAAATGTTGTGTAAATGTTCCTGCTTAGGGCTTCTGTATGTGGAACAAGCTTGAGCAGGCAAGAGAGAGAGGGGTGATCCTGGTCAGCAAATGTTTACAGACCCACCAGTGGGTTCTCCAGTGGTCTCTGCTCCAGCCTCCCATGTGCAGCAGGATCAGCTCTGCCACAGTTTTGTCCAGCTTTGTCTCAGAAACTCCACAAGGACAGAGGTTTTGCAGTCTTTCTGGGTGATCTATTCCACTGCTGCAGTGCTCTCATGGAAAATACTTCCCAAACTTTGTACTCCATTCACAAGTTTCACATGTTTGAGAGGGGTCCTACCTTCTCATCAACTGCCAGACTAAGGCTAGTGTCAGCGTTGGGTTTCCGTCATTCAGATCCTGTCCTCCAATACCAACCAGGGAGAATTTAGCTGGATGCTTTCCCAAGTCTACAGCGTAGTTACAGTTTTCTAGCTACACAGAAAAAGAGTTTAAACAGAAAATCACTCACAAATTCACTCAGTTGACTAGAAGGTTCAAATGGGAATTTTTAGTATCCATGGCTTCTTTTAAAGTCTTTTGAAATGCTTACCTTTTTCATATTTGCTCCAAGCTTAGGGTACGGAGGCTTGTTAACCTTATTCCAGTCAACAGGAACTTTAATCTTTTCATATAATTGTAGTATTACCAGTGCATCTTGGAGATCGCTAAAGTGGAAAACACTAATTAAACCTAATGTTTCAAGATTTAAATGCACTCTGATTTTTTTCACATCATGAACAATTACTAGTCTTTACAGGTTGTTGCAATTTCAGCAACCCTAAAAAGAAAAAACATTTTGTAGTTTTCAGGGCAGGACAAATGCTCCATGCTTAGCATCACCTAGCTGCTGAGCTAAAGCAACAGACTCAGGGAAGAATTTTGCTACATAAAATCCAAAGGTAGCCACCTCTCTCCACTGACTACAGTGACCCAGAGTACCTTGCCTCCTAACTATGATGTCTTGGTTAAGCCCTAAACTTAGGTGAGAGGTAACTGAGTTCCAGTTGTCCTAGTGCAGTTGCTCAAGCAGATCTAAATGTATTGGGATCTCAGGGTACGAATTTACACAAGATAGGGGAAAAAAACCAAACTGTGTTCAGCTCTTAAAGCCAATTCCTGGTGTGACAAGTGCTGGCTCAGAAATGCCCAAGCAGCAGATTGCAGGGGGGGCACAGTGAGCATCTCCCACTCCCTACCATCACCTTTTCCTCAAGCTCGCTGCTTGGCACTGTGGGCAACAGGACACTGGTGTGGGCCCACCTCTAGTCTGACTGGGACCCTCTAGCTGAGTCTCTCCCAAGGGCCTAACACTTACCCATAGAGGTGATTTACATGGGGGTTCACACCCAGGGAGTTCATCCAGTTGCGGAAGGTCCGTTCCTCACGCGTCTCTCCTAGATGAGAGAAAACAAGTTCATGCAACTTCTGCAAGCTCAGAGCTGTGCAGGATTTTCCACTTTGCAAGGCATGGAACTTCGAGCAGCATAGCTCATCGATGAGGTTTCCAAGCAGAAAAAGGGTATTTTTTTCTACTATAAATTTTTCAAAGGAAGAGGGTTGCCCTGATATCTAGTTTTGGATATCAGTTTGATTTCTCCAGGCCTCGGAAGAGTATGCCTTTTGCACTTTCTACTAGAGAAAGTAGCAGGAAGGTTTTTCACACGGGTGTTAGTTAACTGCTATCCGGGAGCCAAGCAGCCAAAGCGCTAAGGCCAGTTCTGCCAGCAATTAGTGCTCCCATGAACGTCTCACTGCATTACTGAGGTGCTCCTGCCCATTGCAGGGAATGGCAAAACTGACTTCCCAGCCCTGACATGGAGACTGACAGGCTGCTGGCATTGCTCCTACAGGACCAGGCTCCACATCAGGGTCAGAGCAGCTGAACAGGCTGTCACGTACCCTTCTCATCTGCCCCAAAGGAGGTAACAACAACTGCAGCACCGAAGCCTCAAATCATAGGTGTTACTACCATGGAGATACCTCTGCTGGGCACAGCCTCTTGTGACACAAGTGTTTAGGTTAGATATTTCCCTCCTGCTAATTTTGTGACTGATATGGCCATCACCTTCCAGTAGGGTCCAGTCGATGTCCTGGTTTTCAGGCTTGGTAAGTGCTGGGTACTTGTTGAACAGGTTGGCAACAAAGGCCAGGTTCAGTTTGGGATTGCCACTGACCACATCAGCTGGCGTGACAAACTGCCGGCAGCCAAGCCGATCCGCCTGCTGAAGCATGTACTCTGCTCTCCGCAAGTCGTCCTTTTCCTGCCAGGGATGAAATGGACAAGAGCTGTCATGGAAGAGATCGGGCTACAAGGCAGATGGGAAGCTCCAGACTGTCACACCTCCAACCTGCCCTTGCTAGGCTAATCAAACAAAGGGATGAAGCATGCATGCTAATCCCTGCTGCTGTGGATGTAATTGTCCTGGTTTGTCTTGGCATTTTTACCAGAATAGTGCTTTCCAGGTTTATATGCTTTCTGATTTTTATGCTTTTTGAATGTGGTGGTTTAAAACCAGAAATCAGCATGGACCCAAATAGAGCAAAACCACAAATGATTTCTCAGTCATCTATGTTAATTCACGGGTAGCAGTCAGACTGCAACAACCACTCATTTAGCACATACCTGAGGTGCACACATGCCCACTGACACTTTACACATTCTAGAAATTAAGATACCAGGTTACCTAGATGTCATGTGGCAATTACAGGGTACAGGTAGTTCGCGAGTACAGCATGAGGACATGACAGTCTGAATACTTACGTTGAAACCTGACATGTTAATATCGATCTGAGGCTCTCCTTCTTTCTGCCCCTTAGGTGCAATTTGATTGAGGAGGTGGAAATAAGCTCTGGAATCCTGAAATGGATGAAAAAGAAAATTCAGGTCTCCCTCCCAGCAGTGAACACACCATAACAATTCATTTCAGACTCATCTTTAACAAGTCACTGTGTATAATTGGCTTATGTACCTTTACCGAATTACCAAAATCTGTAAGCTTAAGAGAGAGCATGATGGCAGAAATCCAGGCAGCAGAAAAGGAAAAAGAAAGGTAAAAGGTTAGAAATATTTAAGATGAAAATTATGTGTTTGAACTGTTTAAGCTGCCTTTGCTGCAAGCTCTGGTGTCACAGCCTCCTCTCCAATGGCTGGAGGAGGCAGTGACCCCGTGCTGCTGGCTCTCATGGCCCCACAGCCAGATGACCCAAGGCAGCCCTAACCCTTAAACAAGGCAGCCCTTCCTACTGCTGATTATAAGAAGTCAATGTTTTCTCCTGTGCCTGCCCATTGGCTAGAATAGCTTAAAGGAGAGAGGCCAGCGATGGTCACAAACTAGGAGAAGCAAATAGCTGCAGTAATTATTTATCAGCTACAAGTCTTTTTAGACACCAGCACTACGAAGGACCTCAGCATATTCTGTCAGCCTATGGGTTGCACCAGACAAACCAACACCTATCAGCAAAGCTGTAAGTGACTTTGAAGTTGGAAATGAGAGTGACGGTGTGTGTGTGCACTCATACACACACACAGGGGAGCTCTGGGCTCCCCATGCACCTCAGTTATCAGGGTTTTTCTCCCACCCCAACAGTCCTTTAACCTGGAATCCACTTCAGTCCTCTTTCTCCTCAAAACTTCTGGCCATGTGAATAAGCTCCAGAAACCTGCTGAAACCAGTGTCCAAAAACCCTATACTGACCAGGAGTCACAACCCTCCATTTCTCAGTAGTGCTGAGAGAAGACAAGACACCCCCTCACATATGAAAAACAGCTGTAAGACTCACTACTCCCATTTCTACTCAGCCCAGTGTAGAGAATAAGGGGTCTTGTTTCCCTTTTCACCAGTCCATGACGTTTTGGATGAAATGCCACCACCTGCCAGGAGTGTGTGGAAGTCACACTCTCCAGGGATGATGCGGTTAAGTATTTCACCCTGTCTGAGCAAGCTGTGTGCCCTTGAAAAATTATTTCCATCAAAAGAGATGGATTAAGAACATTAGAGAACACATGAGTAATACCAGTTTCCTACTGAATTAAAACATTCAACAGCTTTGCAGCAGGATTCCACCAGCAGACAGTTCAACCCTGGGCTCAACCTCATGGCAAGAGAGAACAGCACTGTGGTACTTTAAATATACCATCCATAAAACCCCCATAATCCTACTCAGTGTACTGAGGTTAGGAAAGGTCCTGTCTGCAGATGAAGGGCCTCATTTACACATGCAAACACGGCCCTGGCTGGCTCCCAGCCTTTTCCCAGGGACACACAGTCCAGGAGAGCTCTTGGTACCTTGATATCTGAGCTGAAGTTATTGATTTTGTGCCAGCCTGCGTTTTCCAAGTGGAAGTTGGCCCATCTTAGGAGCAGCTCTTCTGGGGATAGCTTCATAAGGTCCTCCAAATTTTCACCATCACGAAGTAAGGCAGCCAGTGCTAAAAGAAAAATTCTTGTGAGAGGATGGAAGGAAGGAGTTTTCAAGAAGCAAATCTGCATGCCAGATTTAGAGCTGCAGAAACACTTCAGGGGCCGAAGTGGGGGACAATGCCAACTACTGATTAACTCCAAATAATCTGGGTTTTCATGCACTTTTCCTGAGTTGGTTGTTACACAGAGTATGAATGGTTTAGAAAACTGTGTGCAAAAAGTATTTTCCATTTTCCCGTATAACAAAATTATCAGGATTTTACATGCAGTCTTTGAAGCTGAGGACAGTAAGCTAAATGTAAATGTACTTCTATCACAATGAAAAAGTGCTTCCAGCAGTTTCATATGTGCTGTTAAAAAAAAAAATAAAAAAAAAAAAAAGCCAGAGAAGCCAAGATAAGCACCGTTTCAGCTGGCAGGTGCTTCCCTTGACATGAATTTTCAATCTAAGCCAAACAATGTCACCACTTCACAACTGGGAACTTTAAACAAAAGACACTGAGGCCCCTCCATCCATATGGGTACTGTGATAGCCCATGTAGGAATAACAGAACTCTTTGAATTATTTGAAGAATTTAAATTTTGGAGGTTGTTGTGCAGGACCAAGTGAGCACAGGGGGAGAGCTGCAGCATCACTAAGAATGAACTGAGAGCTCAGCTCTGCCACTGACAGTAGCAAGGAGGATTTGAGGAGAATCAAGTCATTGCAAACATATTCCCAAAGAGCTGAAGCCCTCATTTTTTTTTTTTTTTTTTTTTTGAGGAAGATGTGCAGCTGTTTAGAATCCTAAAAGGATGCAAGCAGCTTTTGCCACCTCCCAACACCGTTACGTACCTATGGCTGAAGCACAGTGGGAGAGCCTGCCTAGCCCAAGGCATCACAAAGCAACACGCTCATTCACACCACAAGGCTTGAACCAAGATGCATCATGACTTACAGACTTGTGTTCAGCCAGTTCTCCAATGCTGACACACATTACCAGGATGGCACAACCCACCCGCCTGAACCTAACTCACAGCCATAAACAGGCTGGAGAGCACTCAGCTTGGCACACATCTCAGTGAACCCAAAGAGTACGTCCCTTTCTGCAGAGAGGAGGGGAGGGAAGAGGCAGCTGATGGGGCTGGAGGTGACAGCACAAGCAATACGGTGTTTATGCTTTTAGAAGTTTCATTTACCTTCATTTCTGCTGAGCTCGATGTCGGCAAACAAGCCGATCTTAATGATCTGCCAGAGAAGCCCAAGGACCAGGTGGGGTTTCCCTTCCCTCAAGTCCTCTGCACCGATATTGACGACATGACACCCGATGGCGGATGCAGAATTCAACGCCAGGTTCAGGTTCTCCTGCAAACAGCACAGCTGAGTGAGACACAGCCAGGGGAGATGCTGCTTTGCCTTTCATCCAGCACCAGCAGAGTGGAGATTTCCTCCCCGTACTTGCTCCAACAGCAGCGGCTCGGAGGAAACGCTCCTGGCCACTCTCCAGCTGAAGTTTAACAGAGCAGTGGTGGCGGCAGGCTGAATCAATAAGAACTGAACTAGGCAGCAGGGTTTAATTTCAGCCTCTGGTATTTAGTTTCAGCCTTCAAGTTAGTTGCATCTAGTGGCGTCAACAAGAATAAGGCTGGAGAAGTGTTAAGTTATACACATAGGCACACACAGGCATCCTTGCAAAAACAACCTGTCCTACGATGAAATGATTCCCAGATAGCCAACATCAATAACCATACTGTTTTAAAAAGACAACGCTGTATATAATCACAGCAGCAATATCAGGTGCACACAGTATTTCAGCCATTTTACCCATTTTGTCATTACGATAGCATTTTTGTCTTTTGGACTGTCAATTATGCACAGTACAAAACTGCCTTTAATATTTAAATGCAAGTTATAAAACTCTCTCCTTTCCAGAATTCCACAATAATCCCTCGAGCCACCATGTTGTTTTCATTAATTCTATCCGAGTATGAATTTCAGCAATGAATACAGAAATGTATTATACCTGAATTATGAATGGTGTGAGTTTCTTCTTGTTAATTGCTCTTTCATCAATTGTGTCCGGAACAGAAAGATTGATCATTTTGCTGGTAGGAGGAAAAACAATAATATTTGAACAACATTTAGTATTTAATCTCAACAAAACTCAATGCAGCAATTAGAATACTCACCACAGTACATTTCCTTTTGCCTGTTTCGTGCTTTTTTTTTTTAATCAAGGTTGGGTAAATCAGAAGTTAATATTTACGTTATCAAGAATGTATTTGTAACGAATAGCTAAGCCTGAAACTTTAAACATGTTACTGACCACTACTGATCTCAGCTGCTGGAGCAAAAAGAGCACATGAATTATTCACAGAGCAGTCACTAAACTAGTGAAGACTCATTGCTCTGTTGACACCCACTGCAGATTTTAGTAAGACAACGCACTTCCTCCTATTGTAAATGTGTACCACTACTGGCAAGAAAAAAAAAAGTCTCAAAGTGTTTGTGCTTTTTTGGGAGGTCAGTGAGGAGCATGTGAGCACAATAAATTTTTAGTCAACAGAAAACATGGCAAGTTTTTACTTATTATTATTAACTACTTCTACTCAGTTAAGACTTTACCAGAAGACCTGAATTACTTGCAACTGGTGGAAAAAAAAACGACTAGCTAAAGAAAAAAAAAGTAAAAGAAATTAAAGGCAATGGGCCCACTAAATATCTTTTGTGTATTGATACAGAGTTACTGAAACTCCAGGCTGATCCACTTCTCCACTATATTAATTCATTCACATTTAAAAAAGAAACCAAAACCACAAAACCAAAAGAAAAGCCATACATAGAAGGCAGCTGGTGTTCGGCAGCCCTGGATGCTTTCTGTTTTCAGCGTGCAGCAAAATATGTTACTTTATTGACTTGGTACAACAATTATCAACAGCAAAAAGAGGATTCCCAGAAAATCAATTTTTGGGTTAATTGATAAGATTACTAACATTCCCACAGGGGTTACCATCTGTCTAAACATCCAAGAAAATGGGCTATTTAACACATCTGCCCTCTCCTAAGCTACCTAGCATCAGGTTGAGCTTGCACCAGGACAACTTCTGCTCCCACAAGGCACCTTCTCCCCTTCAGCAAACTCAGTCTCAAGCCTAAACAAAAGCACTACACAAAAATACCAGCTTGTGAAGTTGGCATCAAAGCTAAAGCATCACACACTGACAAAGAAAGCCTGGGTGACCGAGTCAATTTTTATACGTGCAAAACATTACACAGACACACTAGTCACAAAAACAGCCTATAATAAAATTAAAATTCCCCAACTACAGTTTTGGGAAGTTATTTCGGCAATTTTTTTAATTTTTATTTTTAATTCAGGAGCCATCATGACTTACCATAGCACAATCCCATCTCCCACAGCTTTGAACAGGTCATCTGTATTTGGGTTCATTGGAATAACGTGCCTACAGTCGGGATCATTTTCCAGGGCTTTGTTTATCCAGTTTACAAAAGCATATTTTTCTTCCTCTAAGATAACCAATTGTAAATTTAATACACACTTTTTCATAACATCGCAAAGATTTTCCCAAAAGAATCAGTGTACAATAGCCCAAATAAAAGCCCCACACTATTTTATTAGTCACACAAAGTTTAAAGAAATATGACTTCCACTTCCAGTTACCAGAATATTCCTGTTATTTACTCGTTACTCAATAACTTTGTTATATTATATTCAACTGTGACACAAGGACTTCATCAGCAAGCACAGTTAACAGAACAAATAAGCACACATTTAATTTACACACTGCTAACCTGGCATTACCTTCTAATTCTGTCCTGTTCTCACCTTGATATGAAGCCACTCTGCTATCAGAGAACAAAAGCACAGCACGTGGCAGGGCAGTAGAAATCTACTATTTTTGGCATACGGCCTCCACTCACCCAAAAGAGGAAGCAAAAGGCAGAGCGATACCTGAATAGGAGTGCTGCGTCCCCTCGCTGGAGAGCTCCGAGGTCCCTCCGATCGCACAGATTCCTTCCTTCCTGTTAATCGCTTTTCTGAATGTTTTAGCGATGTCACTGCTTTTCACCTCTTGGAATATCTACAATTTAAAGTGCTCTGTTATAGAAGAAAATCTTGTCTTCACAAAACAGAAGGACCACAGAAGCAGCTATTTCTTCACAGCTTTAAAGCAAACTTTGTAGTAAAATCAGCAAATGTGAAGGGCCCAGCAAGGGTGTAGTGGTATTAAACTGAACATGGACAGCGGGCAGAGAGTCATCCCACTCTCTCAAACACATATTGCAAGTGCCTATTGAAACAGAAGCATTAGGCATGAAGTACCTCACATACATTTACCTTTTCAAGTAGATTTCAAGAGACCACGAGAAGAAAAAATGTGAAACCTTTGCAGACTGAGAGCAGGTATACATGCAGCAGTTTCCACAGGACCAAAGTTGAGAAAGCTGTTGTGCAATTCTAACCTTTCTGTGTAAGCCAGATGCTCGTGTGACTGTGCCTTTAGTTCACACAAAAGAGTTTGTCCACAACTCAAGAAACAATTATCTTTAAGTACATAAAAGTCAAATCTGCGATAAAGTGTAACGAGTGCTCCAGGCAAGGATTCTCCCTCCTCCAACAGCAGGCTTGGGCTAACTGAAAAAACACCCTCATGTTTGACGGCAGAAGAGATGCTTTAGCACAGAAAGATTACACATGCCATTTGCACAGGTTGTATGCTGCTATTAGTGGCCCTGAGGTCCTACAGAACTGAGCAACTATTAGAAAAAAATCCATTCAATGGCTTAAAAGTCTACTGTAACTCCCTCAAAACTTAATCAAAATAGTTTCAAGCACACTGAAAACACAAAAGAAATGTATGCAGGCTCTCTAAACACTACCCAGAAAAAAGGCAATGAAACAGCACTGTAAAGCAGAACAACAAAGTGCTGCTGTTAAAAAGAGAGGAGGGCGCTTGTCCATCTGGCTGCAGAGGTGTCACGCCTTACCTTCCCTGTCCCTTAAACACAGGGAAGGTGGCAAGTCAAGAGGATGATGCAGTGCAGCTAAACCATCTCCTGATGGCACACAGAGGTTTTGCTCAGCCCTGTGATCAGGTAGAGCTGAGTGAAGTTGCAAGAGCCCAAAAGTTTTAGGTTTTCTGGTTGGTTGGTTTTAAACATAAGGATTTTGATAAAGATTTATTTTAGAATTTGCTGGACTAATTGTTGGTACTGCATACCTTCTTTGAAAACAAGTGCTTTAATGCTGAGGTACCACTGAGTCACTTAGTCCCAACCTCAAGTCAGCTCATGTCATCCTTTGTAGCATAAACCCCAGCAAAATTGCTCCGAGCTAGAAAACAGCAAAGTTTTGTTTGCAAAAATCCCCCAACCAACCATTGCTTCTATTGTATAGCTTAGTTGCCTGTAAGACATTTCATGTCTATTCAATCATTGGTCCCATTCAAATGTGGCAGAAGAGATTTATTTCTTCCTTCCTAGTGCAGAGTTAGAGTTATGGACCATCTCAAACCAACAGCTGAAACATGCATCCAGCGTGCAAGCGTTCACAAACTGCAAACAAACTCCAACTTACTAGTTGACTCCGAACTCAAAAGTTCAGAGGGTCTGAAAACAATTAAGGAACAGAAGGTGAAGATAAATAAAGAAATGTCAGGAAAAATAGTTGACATCAGAACAGCTCCCTCAATGTACTGCACATTACTTTTATTACTCTTCCAGCATTCAGTCAGAGTATAAAAAGGATGAAGGGATCGATATTGAACCAGTATCTCAGAAGTGTCATGCTTTTGTAAAAATTAAAAAAAAAAATTCTGTCAGAAAAAGGCTGAAGGTTAGACCTATCTTTCAGTTTCTCTTATCTCTTTACTCCTGTTCTTCCCTTTTAAGACAAGCGGATCTGAATTTTCCTAGCTCAGCATCTAGGACTAATCTCCAAACACATCTTGAAATGCCCTCTCAAATCTTTAGAAAATACTTGTAGTCCCATTACATTGAGAAAGGAAATTATACTGCTTCACTGGGAAAACAAGCATTCATCTATGTGCCTGGAAAAATTGAGCAGCTTCCAGTCAATACTGCAAGCCTGGAGAACTGGAAGTCTTTCTTCCAGTTGTCACCTTGTATGGAAATAGTCTTTTGGTTTTCTTTTTGGTTTTTTTGTTTTTTTTTTTTTTTTGTTGTTTAAAAAACAACATATTTCCTCTCAGTCCAAATCTAAAGGCTGGCAGTGACAGCACAAAAGACTGATCATATGCAGAGATCTGTACAAGGAATTAATTTTTACATGGCAAGTCCTATAAGTGATCGGTTTGTAGAAACAAATCCAACACTGGGGTAAGTGTCCAAGAAGCCAGGTTCAACCTCTTTTACCCCCTTCCTTAGTTTTGTCTAAAAGGGGTCCCCCAGGCTGCTGGAAATTCAGAAATACCACTTACATAGACAAACTCTTCAAAACTTATCTTCCCATCTTTATTCTTGTCGCCATCGATCATGAGCTTCTGGATGATCTCTCTCACTTTGTACCCAGGGAGAGGCAGGTTGGCTTCCTTGAAGAGCTCGTGCAATTCATAGTCACAGATGAACCCGTTGCTGTTGAGGTCTGAGGAAGAGAGCAGACAGGAGAAAGTTTTAAGAAACATACCATTACCCTGACAGGACCAGCCCCAGACAGTGGGGCAGAAACACAGGCCCCATGCTCAGCAGTTCTTTACAGAGAGCAACCTTTGCTCTGGGGATGTCTACAAGACATGGAGGTAAGGAAGAACCTCCTAGCATGGCCCCTCACAGAACACCTGTTTTGGGGCCACCTTGCACAGAGCATTCATCTTTGCTGAAAGCAAGACCCATGCAGGACATGGACACACAGCAGGATGCCCACACCAAAAATACCAAGCCCAAGTAGTACACTATTGAATGGACACCACCAAGAATGCACCAGGAATCAAAAGCACGTAGTAAATACCTACAATGCATTCTCAGAGAGTGTCCCGGTGCAACCTGTGAGATCTCTCCAGCTTTGGGCAATGGCAGCTTCAAAGCAGAGCTGGCCAGGATGGCTCTCAGCATGTGTGTCCAAGTCTGGTGAAAAAGTTTCACAACGGAGCATCTGCATTCTCATAAATGATCTCCAGAGCATTTCTTTTTACGTCTAACTGCAGCTGGCTTCAAGTGTTAAAAATAGGCGGTAATGAAACACAGGACTTCTTACTTTCTAAACTGAAAACACTAAGTCAGCTCTGGATTTACATATTTTATCATGTTGATAACGATGTTATCCATTCATCACTGACATAAAATTGCAGCCAGATATTTTAATGCTGCCCAAGATGCTCTACAAGAACATTGGCTTTGACAGTCAACCACCAAGCCACAGCAGCACTGCATGCTTAGCAAGATGTTATCGCCTACTAGATTCGGGAAGAAAAAAAACAAAAATCTGGTGTGAATCTGGAGCTTTTCACATCAACAGATCCCAGCCCCTTTGGGGACATCATCACATCTGTTGACTGCACAGAGCAAATCCATCAGCCCCAGCCTTTTTTAGCCAAGTGAGGTTTTGCTGCCACCACGGACAGGCACAGGTTGGATGTCTCCCTCCTCAGGCTAACCAGGACGAGCAGACAGTGTGGTTAACAGCACGGCTGGTACCCAGGCTTTGGCAGAGTTGAGTCCAGATTCACATCCCAAGACATAAGCATGACCCTCTGAGCATGTTTGGAGAGACAGGGATGCAGGGCATGTTCTGCTGTTACCAGCTCAGTAGTGATGTTAAAATCCCATTGCTGAAGGCAAGTGGAACGGACAGCCCAGGGAAGTTAATTCAGTGCCTGAACTGCCATCTTCTCCCCAGGGTTGGGGCCATGGGGATATACCAACCCTTGATGGATTACTGCTGCCGCTGGTGGGGAATACCTGGATGGGCTGAGGAGGCAGAGATTTGGCAGTCTCCTAAAATCATAATTTAACAACAGGCTCTGCAAAGTCAACCAAGTGCCTGTACTGAAGACATCAGCTGAGCCCTTTAAGGCTAAAGGAAAGCAGTCTCTGCATTTAAGCAACTGTTACTTTCTTCCCCACCTCTAGATCTCCTGGTGCTGTGATGGTGCACTGCTGACTGCAGCTTGCCACCACTGGCTGCCAAAACCACGCTGTGCTGGAAGGCACCTGGCCCCACTCAGCTTCATCCAGCTACCATTCTGCCCACATCCCACATGGGAAGATTTTTCTGCTATTTATAAGGCAGCAGCCTCTCCCTAAGGCCATAGAGTTAAACTCCATTCAAGCAACAGCTTCTGCTGCCCAACCACCCTGGCAGACTGCAGGCTGCTGCCAGCTGCCCAGGCTACGCAATGGAAGAGCTGCATTGGTTTTGTTCAAGAGGGAAACCCACAGCCACTCGGGTCAGTGTTTATGCTTAAAGGGAGGTACTTTCCAGAATAAGATAAAACAATCAGGATAGCTCTAATGTTTACTTTTTTCTTAGCAAATTTTGAAAGTCAATTTCATTTTAATGAGGTGTCAGAGGTAGTTTTTAGGTTTTATTTAACAGCAATGTTCCAGCAAGCAACATGTCCTCACCACCACTCCAACCTTCCTCATTTCCCAGATCCATATGGGATTTTAAAACTGTTTTTATAAGTTAGCAAAAAAGTGAAATTCAAATTCTATTGTCAAACATCCAAAGTAACACAGAGCAAACCTGTACTCCCTCCTACATTCCAGTCCCTAGGACTCGAACTATAGAAGCGGATTAATAAATTAATTAAACTACTTATGAAATATCAGTGTTTACAATAATACTGATGAAATAAAGTGGTTTGGGACAATGATTAATGATAGCAACAGGCTGCTGTCTGGCCTTCAATTTTAGAATTTTATTCCAAAAAAATATAAGCTTACAAAGGCAAGCTTTACTCAACAGTCCAGCCTGAGATGTCATCAGCAAACTATTTCCCCTCTAGATAAATCACAACTTCTTCTGTTACAATTTTCTTATTACTAGATCTAACTCCACAAAATGCATCTTTTCCCTGCCTCACAGCCAGTGAAGAAAACTCAGACAAGAACAGATTTCTTAATCTCCAGGGCCTATGGACCCGAAACAAAACTTTGCTTTCACCCTCAGCATTACAGCCAACACCCACAGCTTTAGCCTGTGTTTGACTGAACCAACCACAGTCCTTTGCCATGCTGCCAAATTAAGTAGGTAAATCCAGAAACACCTGTTCATCACTTCTTCCCATCAATCCACCACCTAAAAAAATAAGTTTTCCATCTACCCAAATGTTAGTAGGTAAAGGACAGCAAAAAATAAGACTTTAAATACATACTGTATCCTTGATAGGATCATGGATGTGATTTTGGTTCAGATCTTTAAAAGGTTTTCCTCTTGATGTGTCTAGCTTAAGCATTCACAAGTGTTTCAGAGCCAGGCTTGCATGTGCCATGTCTGAGCCTATTCATAAGTGAAAGGGAAAAACAATATATGATGTTTCATGAGGTAGAAGCCTGTTGGGTGAGACGGCTGTGAACCAAGTTCCAAAAGCTCCATCTCTAATACATTGGAGTGATGCTCCAGGTAAAAGGATGCTTTAACCTGTTTAAAGCCCAGTTCTACACCTGAAGGATTTGCATGTTTTTTAACAGTACAGTCTAGTTTAAGCAATTAATCCCCAGCCTCGCATTTATATTGCTTTGCTTGCAGAACAGAAACCATGACTTAAAAACACCAATTGAAATGCAACTGAGGAGCTAGCCCAGGCCATTTTCCAGTTCATCCACACTTGCTTAGCAGACCTCAATCTCAGCCTGAAAGCATCAAACCTGGCTGCAGGGCAAATATTAGGAATTTACTGCAGTCTGGGTCAACATCTGCCCATTCTGAGGGTTTCGTTCACCACTGCAAAGCAGCATCTTCCCAGTCCTCCACATGTTCCTAGTTCAAAAAAGATTTACCTCTGGTCACTGAAAGAAAACCCCCCAAAAATTAGCAGCTCTGCAGCACAAAGAGCCATCTGAAATGCACACTCACATGAGATTCAGCAGCACGGCACCAGGAAAGATGCTGCCCATCGGGGGGCTGTACACCAGTGGCTCTCAGCACCTGCACTGGGCTCAGACAGCCAGCACATAATCAAGTGTGAAGGACACACACTGTTGAGTAATGCACCTTAACTCACTCAAAATCCTTGAGTCTCAGGACCTAAGTTTTTCCAACTCTTAACAGTCCTGAACACCCACCTGTAAGAGTTCCTCTTCCATAGTATCCTGGGAAAAAAAAATTAATCACTCATTTACTTCATAGATTAAAAGGGCATCTATGTCCCAGACACTTTGGGAGTGGGATTTACACGCAGGACAGATCTGTTGGTTTAACAGCAAGACCCCACAGCAAATTGCTGGTTTTGCAGTGAAGATGCTCTCAAGTTTTATCTTCTTGGCTATAGAAGGGCAGATTTAAGTGCTAAAGCCTGGTGGATGTGCTACCCTGTGGGTTCGGCTTGGGAGCAGGGTCAAGTAACCTTAACTAGCGACTGACTATTGGTGGAACATGGACCTGTTCTTCTCTTAACATGTAAAAGAGCCTTTAGCCATGTAAACATGACAAACAGGCCTGAGACAGCTATCCCACAGGGCAGCTGCTTCCCTTCCTGCTGTCTCTGTTCTCCCTCTGGCATCACAGTCAAACGGACACAGTAGCAGCACTAGAAAGAAAAGTAGTCACCTTTGTATCACCAGCAAGTTCCATAATTATTTGCAGCGTCACTGCAGGCCCACCATATGGTGCCTTGCTGGATGTCCTGCAACAGGGCCAGGCTTCAGACAGAAGGTGGTCTAAAATCCCTCTCTAACAAAATCTGAAAGGATATTCAATAGCTGAAGAGGCTGTCAAAATAGAAGCTATCCCAAATGAAATTCTTCGGCGTACAGCCCAGAATTACTAATGGAAGAAAGCAAAATTGTTTTAACAAACAAGCGACAGCCTGGATTCATTATAATCTGCCTGACAGAAAGGAAACTACAGCACATCTGAAGTTTCCTATTTCTACTGAAATATGCATGCACGCCAGCTTACTAAACCTGGGAAATGTCACTGCAGTGATGCACGGCACCGTCTTCTGCCCATCCCCAGGTGGCGCAGCAAAGCCACAATAAACAAAACCCAAAAGCTGCTTCAAGCTCTGGCTCAGCTTCCTCCAACAAGTACTTAAAATAGCTTAAATAACAGGATGCGAGAGGGGAAAGTAACCCACGTTTCCTTTTAAGGATATATGCTCAGCAGGACACACTCCAGCAGGATCACAGATCCCTATTTGCCTTAAGCTAACATTTCAGAGCATTGTTTTACCACCTTGCCACAGAGAACAAAGTGTTCAGCTGTGTTACAATTTTTAAGCATTTTCTGTCCAGAAAAGATGTTTATCTCTGCTGTTAGAAGCAGATCTTCTGGAAGACAAATAAACATAGCAAGTTTGCAGATTTTGTTCTGCCATGCCTCCACTATGAAGTGCCACTGTTTGGCCAAGTACGTACATACACACACCTGTTCCACAGAACAAATTCAGAGATCAGCCAAGATTTGGAGCAACCTGCTCTTCTCCCACTAGCCTGTGGGTCATTCAAAGCCTAGACAGTTCTTGTGCCCCACTTAATTACTTTTTTCAGATGTTAAAATGTTTGGTTTTTTTCCCCACTGCTGTTTACCACTTGGATCACTTCCAATACAAATACCTGGCTGTAGGATGCTGGATGCTGCTTGTCCAAGCTGTAGCTGACTTTAGTGGTAACCTTAAACCATGGTTTCTCACGTGTGGACTGCTTCTAGTAAGCAGTGGGTAGTCTATGGGACTCTTTGCCTTTTGCTGGCTGTCAGAGAACAGCACACCAGCTGCATGGGAGAGAGGGGATACCTTCCAATGGCATGGAAGGCCAGTGGTGTCTGAGTACATAGTAATACACCTCACTGCCTTCCAGCATCACCAGGTCATCATCATCATACAGAAAAGCCGGTCACACACCTTTAAAGTCCCATCAACCTACACAACCAGAGCAGCAACTTGCCCCATGCTAGAGTTAAAGCAAGTCTCCAGGAAGCCCATGCAGCCACACGCTGGGGCAGGGCATGTCTTGGTGAGCAGAAACCACCTCGTGAGATGCTTCCTCCTCCCCACATCTCCTTTACAACATCCTAGAAGCCAACCAGCTGAGCTTTGCTATAATCATGCTCCTCAGCTGCGTTCCAGGTCGTCCAGGTAGCTGGGAGATGAAAGAAAAGCTTCATTTTAAACAGCAGCCTTGGTCCAACTTTTCTTCACATTCACTAGAGATGGCATTAGAAATTCCCAGTGAAAGCCAGTCACCCAATTAGCAACGAGTTCTATGTCCCAGGGCAAACACTGCTCCTTTAGGCATGAATAAAAGGAAGGAATGCATTAAAGTCACTCCTGACAGGCATGTCCCACAGCAACGCATCCAGGCTGTACAAGGCGTAAAGCACCCGAAACAGAAGGCAGCTGAAAAGGACAAACAGATCCCATCTCACTTATGGGTATGTCCAGGCTAATTATCACATTTCTCAATAATACCTAAGTTTTGACACTGCTTTTATAATTTAAAACCAAACAGGAACCCACCTCATGAGCAGGGTGAGCTGTTTTCCTGAAACAAACCATGATTTGTCTTGGGTTTCTCCCTGTTTCCAGTGCAAAGGCAGCCAGCCAACCTAATCTCAATAATTTCCACACACTATAATGACAAAAAGCCACCATGTTCCAGACAGGTTAATAATTATAACCTTATCCAAGGACAGAACGGGCTGCCTGCATCCCAGCCTTATTAAGGTTTGCACTCAGAGGCACATTAGGCAGCAAGAAGCATGATGGTCACTCGTCTCCCTCTGCAGCAGCTCCCTTCCACCTGCTGGAAAAGTCTCAGGAAGAGCAAGACAGGAGAGGGAACTGCTTAAAATGCAACTTGCTTCAAGTCCCAACAGACAATACTGCTCCATAAGAATCAGCTGTCTTTGAAATTCCTACTTCTCTCTGCAGATTGCAAATTTAGGGCAAGTGAGAGTTTTAAGAGCCACCCTGCTCTAGAGGGTGGTTTCCCCGATACAGATGCGACGAGGCAACTACCAGTTTGTATTTATAACCAGTGCTCAAGCAGTGCCAACGCCCATTTAGGAAAATGACTGGCTCTCATCACTTGTACAACTCATTCCCGGCCAGTGCCAGTCCTGGGTGTGGATCCCCAGCTGCATACGCTGACCTCAGTCCACACCAGTGCGGTCCAGCTCCCACCACACCCCTCCCTGGCGTTTCTCTGGTCTTCCAGTAAGCCATATCAGGACACTAAACCAGCAGAAAACAATTTTCTCCATGATGTCAGTCTTCTGCCCATTTCAGCTTCCTGAAGCAGCCTGCCAGAGGCTCCTGCAATGCCAGGGCAGGGGGAAAGCTGGAAGGCAGGCGGAGCAGCCTGGGATGGGCAGCCCCTCAAGCATCAGAGACTGTTAGAGAGGTGAGAACCAGAGAAGAAAGAGCCACCAGAGGGCAATGCACATGCACTACAGCCACAAAGCATTTAATTGTCACCACAAGTTACTCCAGAATGGCCAGGTAAACAGACACTTGCTAGGTTTTGCCTACAAGCTCACCAAATGCTATGCCTCAAATGCACCTGCACAAACCAGAAATGTAGCACCTACATTTATCATCTGCATGGTTCAGCCAATCTGCCAAAACCAATAACATCAGAAACAAGCGCTGTGCAAGCCCTCAAGTGCTGCCCGGGACAAAGTAATGCAATACCTGTTTGGATATTTCTTCTGCCATCAGGAACCAACAAAGTCCACCCTGGAGGAACAGGGCAAGGCTGTCTGCCAGTGCACACTGACAGCCAGACTGCCCACGTCTATTCCTTTGTGCTGCTTGGCTAGAAGTGACAAGCCAGAAGCAACAAGGCTGCCAAGGGACTCCCTGGCATGGAGAAGATCACGAGAGCAGCAGACTGCACACATCCTGCTGGCACCACTGCTCATAGGGATGGGATAAATCCATTTCAAATGTACAGCAGACAGGAGCAAGATGCCATCCTCACTGTGACCTACCAACTTTGGCAAAGGCCTCCTTGAGTTCTTCCAGCTCGTCTTTGGAGATTTGCATGGTGTTGGCCATCTCATGAATTTAGAGAGTACCTAAAGAGAAAAAAGGACACTATGTGAAACCAGGCTGCTCTCAAATGTGTACAGTTTTGAACACCAGTACAGCAACAATCAGTACCAAAGTCACTACAGTTCTCAAAGCCACATTTATCTTTCCACTAAGAAAACAGATGTGTGAAACTTAGAAGATAGGAAATGCACTCCTTCACAAGTCAAAAATCCCATTAGCCTTGTTAATATTTAGCTCTGTGTATTTATTTTATGTGCTATGCTGTTCTGCACACATTAAGGCACTCACTACCAGTGTGTTCTGTAGGTCAGAAAAGCTCACATCGGCAGGGATTTTCCACAACATTGAACAAAATCAGAATCCAGAGTTAAAATATTAATGCAAGAGATACTGAACACTCTGCCTGCTTGCCTGTCCCTTGAGAGCACGCAGCTACCAAACGCAAATAATAAATATTCTGAACAGTACCTGAAAAAGGTCTATTTGCACAAAGTAGTATACCCGATATTATTTGCAAAAAGGAAACAGTCTGCTTCTCTACAAGAAAACTGTTCGAATAAACACCTGCCTATTTCCCCAGAGTTAGTCTCTCAATAAACCATGTAAGTAACAGGCTATTGGCACTGTCACTGACCCCTGCCACCCGCCTGAGCAAGGCATGGCAGGAACACTGCAAGTAAGTGCAGAACAGCAGGCAGCAGGCACACGCAAACCCTGAGTATGCAGAAACTCAGCTTTGATCAGATCTGCTTGGTGTTTAAGAAACAGAGAGGATGAAGCGTACAGCTCCTACACCCATCTGCTATAATCCTCTCCAAGAACTGTTTAGGTGCCACCCAGCCAGCCTGTACAGGAGGTATCACCATAAGCATGGGACAAGGCCAGTAACCTGCCCACGTCCCCTTCCCATGAGAGTCGTGAGGGCAGCATCAGATGCCCTGTTGGCACTTCGGCCAACACAACCAAGAGAGATTAGTGATTGATGGAACAATGCAAAAAGGGCAACAACCTCTCTATGTGAGCAAAAAGGTAGGCACACTCCAGCACACATGCTAGCTCTGGCTCCGGGTCTCTAGAAACAGGGATCTGGGCAGGCTCAGTGCAACTTCAAATGCGATTTGCATCCCAAGATCTTCCAGCTCCCACTTTGTTAGTGACAATTGCTGTAAGCTGAGAAATAAAAGGTTCCTCCTCTGCCTATGGGAACAGACACAGCTGCCTCCTCCTCTGTAAGCGAAAGGATGAGGGGTGGACTCAGGTTGACACAGGGTCAGAAGGCAGGGTCTTGCTGCTCAAGGGACAAGAGGCTCAGATCCACAACCGCCTGTGCTCTGATTAGAAGCTTCTTTTGTCTGAGGCTCCCAGCTGCCTTCACAAGCACTTGTTAACTTAAGAACACAAGTTTGCCTGTAGTTGTAAATATTCATTTGCTGTAACACTTCACTCAGTCTGGAAAGAATGAAGTCGTTAGAGATGAGAGTGATGGGCAGGGGTGGCAGCCTGGGAAAGCAGCTCAGACAGGTGGTAGCAGCAGAGAAAGTCAACAAGAAGTTGCAACACTGCAGAGACATGAAGGAAAGCACATCAGTCCCCACCTCCCAGCGTCCACAGAGCTGCCAGCAGACACAAGATATTTGACAGTCAGTAAAAGCCACCAACAGCAAGACAGGCAACTTAATCACTGGGCTCATACTGCAAGAATGGGGCAGGGGGAGAAACTGAGGCAAAGCTGCATCAGTCTGACAGAGGAAAAAAAAAGCACCATAGTAAATTTTTTATACTGTTTCACAGATTACAAGTTAGGTTAGTTTACCAAGGAAATGCTAGCATTCAGGTCCTTGCAAGATGCATGCAGTGCTGCCCGTTTTGCTGGATGCCCAGTCTGCCAGACCAGGACGTACCCCCGATCCTGAAGCAGCCCCTTCCCTGCAGCATTCCCATAGGTGCCCCAGCAGCACGAGCCTCAGTGCCATCAAAACCTGGCTGTTCTTTCCAGGGGATAAAGGAGTTGCTCAGCAAGAAAGTCAGCTCTGAGCAAGCTTGGTGCATGCTACGGGAGGTGGATTTCACAACTGGCAGAAACCCTTGGGGGACACTATCGGGAACAGAGACAGTTTTGGCTACGCAGGCAGGCAGGTGGCATGAGCTGCCAGGCAGGAGAGGCTGAGCTACAAGACTAAAAATTCAACCAACCCTCCTTCACAATTTCTGCCTTCTTCCTAATCCTCATTTGCACCAATTAATTTTCAAAACATGAGGATGTCCCTTAAAAAGGGATTTCCAAAAGCATCATTATCTAACCACGTCACTGGAATTTAATTTGCTGCTGACTATCTCTAGCATCTTTAACACCAAAACAAACAGCAAACACCACCTTAAGCTGAGAGCTTTTTCAAAAGCTACTCTGTTTGACTTCATCAGGAAAATATCATGCCCTGGATATGACCTTCAGTTGTTTGTGGGGGTCTTCGCCTAAAAAAATTTTCCCTTCCAGCCCCTCTGCTGTTCAGCTCAGTCAGTAAGTTTATAAAACAAGTTTACCTCTCAGTTATCATCACTTCTTCCTTCTCTGTTTCTCTCCTTGAGAGGAGAGAGGGAAAATCTGAACGAACAGAGAAAAAGCAGACACCTGACCTTGTTATAGCTGTCTGAGAAGTGGAAAGTATGTTATGATATACCAAAACAGTATATGAAAAGGTTAGTGGGCCACAAGTTACAAGTTGGCGGGACTGCTAAGCTCCCAAAGCAATTTTACAGAGTTTTTTTGCAACAGAGAGGTAGGTATTACACCAACATTGGCACACTGGGCGAGGGGGCAGGGGAGCTTTTCAGGTTTTTGTTGTGTGTGTGCGTGGGGGGGG